TCTCGCTTGGATTGAAGGAGAATTTCTGGATGTCTGCTCCATGGCACGTGTGCACCTCAAACATCGTGACGTTCCCATAACCCTGGGCCACCGTTTTGTCCAGCGACGACGAAGCGAATTGACCAAAGCGGACTTTATCACCAGCTGTCACATTGAACTGGACTGTCCTCACCCCACGGAACACAGCTGGACACTCATCAGGGCGTCTCAGCTTCTGGAGGGCCTGGGTCAGCAGGAAATGCAGCGTTTTGAAGCGGAAGTTGTCCCGGTATTCCTGGCGGGAGCGCCCGGCCTGGCGCACGGCCGGGTTGAGCTGCTTGTGCACGTCCGGCATCGTGTAGGCCATGAGGGCGATGGCCTGGGCTGGGGACAGAGGGGATGAAGAGGAGCCCCGCTTCCGCCACTCGGCCGTGGCCTTCACCCAGGCCTGGGAAAACTCCTTGTTCTCCTGGAACTCGGAAATGTTGAGGGCCGGCAAGGCCTCAGTCATGGCAGGGCCACAGTTGAGGTACTGGTCATCAAAGGAGTTCTGGGCCATGTCCAGGGGCACCACCTTGATGGCTGCAGTGGCCACGGTCATTGCCAGCAGTGCCAGGGTCTGAGCCAAGGGGGCCATGGAGAGGAGAGGCCACAGGGACCAGTGTGGGACACTGGGGGACACAGAGGGGACACAGAGGACAGACTTTGTGACACAGGGTGGACACTGGGGGACACCAGGGGATGCTGAGGGGACACTGATGGACACCAGGGGACACTGATGGGACACAGGGGACACTGAGGGACATGGTGGGACATAGGGAGGCTTCCCTGGGGAGGGGCTGTGGAGGGACAGTGGGGTCAGCCCAGGGAGGGGAGGCAGCCCTGGCCAGGAGACCCCAGGATGTTTCTCCTGGGACCCTGATCCCAAATCCTGGGATCACTCCTGGTGGCCCTGGTGTCCACCAGTCCCCCTGGGACCCCAGTCCCACTCCCACAGTTTTGGGTCATTGCCCTGGGGTCCCCTCAGCCCCCCCCAGGACCCCAACCCAAATCTGGGGTCACTCCCTGACACCCTGTGTGTCCCTCTCAGCCCACCCCTAGACCCCAATCCCATTCCCAGTCTGGTGTCCCCTTTTGGCGTTGTTGGAAATGAAACACCCCAGGACCCCAACCCAAATGCAGGGATCACCCCCTGCCCCCTGCAGTGTCCTCCAGCCCTCCCATGGCCCAGTCACACTCCCAGTTCCCCCCTGCTGCACCCCAGAGCCCTGTGGACCCCAGTCCCATGTCCCCCCGTGTCCCCCACCTTCCTCCAGGATTCCAAACCCACATCACATTCTCCCCCAGGGTCCCCCCAGTGTCCCCCAGGGCCCCAGTCCCGATTCCAAGGTTCCCTCTCCCCCATCCATGTGTCCCCTGGAGTCCCCCCAGCCCTGATACCAAAATCAGCTGGAGTGAACTCCCTGATGGATGTGCAGGTATCAGAAAGCTGGAATTCTTTATCAGCTCAGACTTACAGAGGATCTCTCCTGGTCCTGCAGCTCGGGGGGACTTTGCCACTTCTATCCTCTGTAATTATAAATATTTATTAAAATGGGCTTCTTAGCTAATACAAAACCAGCACTTTTCCTGTAAATAAGTGCCATGGTTCCACCTCTCTCCAGGAATTTTTTTATTTTTCTGGAGAATTCCTAAGAAGTCATCTGGAGGTCATTTTCACTAATTGCCCCAATATTTCAGATGATGTCGCCCCAACTTCCGCTTTTGGCAGACGCTGCTCCTTCTGTGTTACAAAACTTGTCAAAAACCCCACAGGAGTTCCCCATTTTCTCTTTCTCCACCACTTTGAGCCGTGTTTATTGTCCTGTGTAAATACTTTTACATCCTTTTATCATTTTTTGCCAGTCAGACTTCAAGCTCTACCCAGCACCTTCAGCATGTGAGGAAAAGCCACACTGTGAAAAGCCAAGGGTCCACAAAGCAGTCTTGAAACTTGGTTTGAATAAAGGCACAGAGTTTCCACAGCCATAGCCCTGTGGGGATTCTCTCTTGAGGTTTTGGAGAGTGCAGCCTCCTTTTATCCCAAACTCCTGGCCGCACATTGCCCTCTCCCTTTCCCCACTGGCTGAGGTATAGGAAGGTGCAGCTGTCCCAGAGCACCTACCCCACATCCCCCTTGAAGCCGTCATTTTCTCCCAAGTTCGGAAGTTCAGGCTGTCTGGGTTATGGAATAGACTGTGTGGGGACGCATTTCTCTTATTGCCTGAATGGTCAGGACTTCCAACTTTCTGGTCAAACCACCACAGTTCTGTGACAAACTTCATGTCTTCTCATGCACAGATGTCAAGAACCATTTTGAAGACACTGACAACAATTTCTCCTACAGACCCCTGTCATGGTTTGACGCTGGCACAATGCCAGTGCCCCCATGAAAATACCTTCTCCCTGGTGTCTGCTGTGAGATGTGACCTGGAATAAGCAAAGCAGGCTCCCACTTAGAAATAAAGAAAGGAAAACTTTATTAACTAAACTACAAGTAAAAAGGAACACACATGGAATATGAAAACCTTCCAAAAACATTTTCTCCTCCCCCCACCAAATTCCAATACATCCATCCTTCAGATCACCAACTCTTGTTCCGTCACCACCCTTTAGGTAATCAATTCTCAGGTCATCAAGAGGAGAGGAATCCTTCTTGTGCCATAGGCTTCCCCTGGAAACACAGTTGATACCTCTTGTGTTTCCTGTCACACATGGCACCGCCCGGAGAACATTTGCCATCTTCCTTCCATGCCCAGTGCTCTCACCACTGTGCATGGACCAGGGCTGCTTCTAGGGTTTTCCTTTTAAGGATGCTTTGTCCAGTTCCAAAAAAGAGCACAGTCTCTCTTTTGGGACAGCTGCCCCCCGCAAAGTTCACCCCCCCCTGGGGCCGAGGGGTCTCAAAAACAGAGATCTTCTCCACTGAAGATCGAGGGCACCAACCAACCACCACCCTCCTCACCTGTTGTGTCTGTTCATGCACTCCCATAACATCACTGCACTCCCTTGGCTCCAAGCCATTGCCTTCCCCTGAATGCAGTCTCTGTGTCACAGGGAAAAAAAAAAATTGTTGCATCCATGGCTATACAAGAAAAATCCAGCCAAAAGGCCACTCCATCATCTCCTCCCACCTAAGATTCTTCTCTAGTTCCCTCGTGGCCCATTTCCTCTTATCTCATCTCTTATCTCTCTTCTCATTCAGCTCCAGGAGGATCAGCATTTGTAAGGTTTCCATCATGCAAGAAAGGGTTAAAAATCCCAGTCTCTGCCTGTCCAGAGCTCTGTCCAAGCCCCGGGCCTACCTCACCCAGCCACATGGCTGCCCCTCCCCCACCCAGCTGGGAGCTGGGCAAGGGAGGTCCGACCTGCTTCCCTCGCTGGAACCAAGAGAGCTTACCACGGGAGTGCTCTGCTTTTTAACCCCTGTGTTCTCAGAGGCGTATCCAATGTCCCAATGGCCACGCCAGGTGCCAATATTAAAATCTGAGCACCCATTGGTTTGACCACAGCATCCCAGAAAACCTACTTCCTGTCAAACCACGTCAACCCACAACATTCTGAGTCATTTTTCAAAGACATCACCTCCCACATTTCCTATAAAATCCTTCCCTGTGATGGTGGTGATGCCCTGGCACAGGCTGCCCAGAGAAGCTGTGGCTGCCCCATCCCTGGCTATGTCCAAGCCCAGACTGGGAAGGGCCTGGAGCAGCCTGGCCCAGGGGAAGATGTCCCTGCCCATGGCAGGGCTGGCACCGGACGGGCTTTAAGGTCGCTCCAGCCCAAACCATTGCAGAGCCCCCGGGGCCGGGATGGGGCGGGGCGGGCACTCGGCAGCGCCAGCAGCTCGTGCTGCCGCCTGCTGTTGGCACCCGGAACTGCAGCTGGGGGCGGCGCATGCGCAGTGACGCTGATTTCCTGCGCTCGCTCCTGCCCTCCGGTGGACAATTCCTGAACCACAACTGCCAGAATGCCCAAATCCCAGCATGGGTCAGGCTGGAAGGACCCAGAGTGGGCACCAGGCCCAACCTCCCAGCTCAGGCAGCATCATGCCTGAGACCTGGATTGGGTCCAGAGCAGCCCAGAACTGGACACAGCACTGGACAGAGCTGAACATGGCACTCCTTATGTGCCTCCCTGGGCAGGGGAAAAGGGGTACAAACACTTCCTGATCTCCTGGCCGCACACTTCCCAACACCCCCTGGATCCCTCCTGGCCTCAGGCCACACAGCCAGCTCCACTGTTCACCCACCAACACCCCCAGGTTCTCCAGAGATGCCCCAGCAGGTCCCCACCAGCCAGTATGGGCACTGGGGACTGTCCCTTCCCAGGGACAGGACCTCAGGACCTGCCCTTGCCCTCTTGAACTTCCCAATTTCCAGCTGTTAAGGGCCCCTGAAGTACAGGATGTGGCAGGATGCTCTGCCTGGAATGGGGTCCAGGGACAATGCCGCATTTGTGGCCATTGGGGCTGCATTGAGAAGGGTCTGCTGCTGATTTTGGTGCTGAATTGAGCTAAAACCAGCCCAAATCACCAACCCCAAATTGACAACTGAGGCTGAAGCACCAGAGCTGGGCCTTGCCATTCATCAGCTGATCCTGAGAATGTCCAGTCCCCTCTTAGAAAGACATTCCCCTCCCTTATTCCACCTGGGAATGAAATGTGTGTGAGATTCCTGCCTTGGGAAGGGGATGCTCCACAATCCTCCTCAAAGCTGAGAGAAAGAGAAATTCCCAGGAGTGTTGGTGTAGGGAATAACATCGAGCCCTGCTTAAGAATGGTCACTTTTTGCATGCTTTTTCAGATTTATTAATGGAATTGTTTTGATTGAATTTTTTAATAGAATTTGCACAATGGCTTTGGTGGCCACCCTGGCCCGAGTGGCTGTGGTATCCTTGTGGCTGAGGGAGTCTTGGTGATCGTGGTGGCCACAGCTGCCGCAGTGACCACAGTGACCTTGGTGCCTTGGTGTGTTCAAGGCTCAGAGGATCCTGGTGGCCAGTGCCAGGGCTGCGGTGGTCAAGAGGAGTCCTCCAATTTGGAAGGTGGCCCTGGGGATGCTCCCACCTGGGGGACAAAGAGGGGCATCAGGGGAACGATTAGGGGAGAGAGGGGGTCGGGGATGGCCATAATGGATGGTTAGGGGTGACAGGCAAGATGAGGGCCGTGAAGTGACAGGTGACAGGGTGTCAGGGGGGAACACGGGGGTACGGGGGCCAGCGAGGTCAGGGGAGTCATTGTTGGCTTAGGGGTGACAGAGGTCAAGGGGAGTCAGGGATTGCCATGGGGGGTTACAGGGGGTCACAGGGTTTCAGGGAGTGCCATGGGGGTCCTGGCCCACCCGTGTTCTGTACACAGGACCCATCCCCACAACACTGCCTTTATCAGAGACCTGGTTACGTTGGTACCCTGGGGCGTCCCAGTTTCTCTCCCTCTCCCTTGTCCCCTGGCACGGGTGTTCCTGTCCCTGTTCCCTCCCAGAAGTGCGGGTCCCCATCCATGTTTTCTGTCACAGGTGTTGCTGTCCCTGTGCCCACAATGGGTGTCCCCAGACTTGGTGTCCCCAGACGTGGTATCCCCAGCCCAGGATATCCTTGTCCCCCCACACACTGTGGGTGTCCCTGTTCCCCATCCCCAGTCAGTGTCATTGTCCCCTGTGCCTTATCATTGTTGTCCCCATCCCCCCTGGCTGTCACCTGAAGTGACACCTCCCAGCCACTCGCAGTTGTATTTGGTGAAGGTCTCAGTGGAGCGGAGCTGGATCTGTGTCTTGTCCCCTTCCCGGGTGTATTGGGTGACCTTGAAAGTCTCAAAGGGTGGGATCAGCATGATTTTAGGTTCCGGATGTTCGCTAAAAGGCGTGACATCCACGCCATGGCATGTGTGCACCTCGAGCATTGTCTCACCGGGGCACTCGCCAGTTTGTTTGCTCGGGAACACTGGCATGAATAGACCAAACCGGACGGTGTCACCACGCTGTGCCTCAAACCGGGTGTCACACACCTTCAGGAACGCGTCCCGACACTGCCCGTTCTGAGCGTCCCTCAGCGTGGCCAGGGCATCGGTCAGCAGGAAATGCAGCATTTTGAAGTGGAAGTTGTCTCGGTATTCCTGGCGGGAACGCCCGGCCACACGCACGGCATCATTGAATTTTCTGGGGTCAGTCATTGTGAAGGCCATGATGGCGGTGGCCTGGTCTGGGGACAGAGGGGACTCAGGGGGGCCCCGACGCAGCCACTCAGCTGCAGCCTTTACCCAAACCTCAGCAAACTCCTTGTTCTGCTTGAACTCAGAGTGGTTGAGGGGGAGCAAGGCTGCCTTCATGGCAGGGCCACAGCCCCGGTACTGGTCATCAAAGGAGTCTGGGGCCATGTCCAGGGTTAGGGTTAGGGTTAAGGGTGGCCATGGCCATTGCCAGCAGTGCCAGGGTCTGAGCCAGGGGGGCCATGGCAGGGAGAGGCCACAGGGACCAGTGTGGACACTGGAGGACACAGAGGGGACATGGGGGAGACACAGGGAGGGTTCATCAGTGAGGGACTGGGCCGGGGAGTGGGGTCAGCCCAGGGGGAAGGGAGGCACTCCTGGCCAGCAGAGCCCTGGGCATGTCTGGGCTCCCTCATCCCAAATCCTGGGGTTACTTATCCCTCCCCAATGTCCCCCAGCCCCAGGAACCCAAATCCCACAGTACCGTGTCCTCCTGGCCCCCCAGAAGCCCAATCCTACTCCCATGACTACAAGTCCCCTCAGCCCCTGCAGAATCCCGACCCAAATCCTGGGGTCACTCCCTGAGCCCCTCAGTGTCCCTCTCCATTGGTCCCCAGACCCCACTCCTACTCCCATTCCCCAGTTCCTTTGGTGTCACCCCAGGACATCAACCCAAATCCAGGCATCACCCTCTGCCCCCACTGTGTCTCCCAGCCCCCCCATCACCCCAATCCACTCTCACCATCCCGTGTCCCCCCTCATTTTCCCCCAGAGCCCCCCATTACCCCAAGCCCAGACCGTGACTCCCCCAGGGTCCGCCCAGCACCGCAATCCCAATCCCTCAGTCCCGTGTCCCCCCAAGAGTCCCCCTGGAGTCCCCCCAGCCCCAATACCAAAATCAGCCGGAATGAATTCCCTGATGGAACTGGAGGTAGCATAAAAACTGAATTCTTTATCAGCTCAGACTCACAGTGGATCTGTCCTGGTCCTGCAGGTCACAGGGGACTTTGCCACAGGGTCTTTATCCACTACAATTATGAATATTCATTACACTGTGTCCCTCACCTAGTACAGAAACTTCACACTTCCTATTAATAATTTGCATGGTTCCACCTCTTTCTGGAAATCCTTTTATGGTCCTGGAGAGTTCTAAAAATGAGTTTTCTCAATGTGGTTTTCACTGAGTGCCCCAATATCCCAGAAGACCTCAGCTTGAACTTTCACTTTTGGCAGACACTGCTCCTTCTGTGCTACAGAAATTGCCAAAAACCCCTCACAGGAGTTCTCTTTATCTCTTTCTCCATAGGTTCCAGCCACCTTTTCTCTGCTGTGCCTACAGTTCTACATCCTTTTATTATTTTTTGCTCGTTCTTTTTTAAGCCCTATCCAATACCTTCAAAACAACTCAAACTTTCTGTTCTCTCTCTTATTGCACACCCCCCAAAACCCCAATCCCACAGTCCCATGTTCCCCCAGTCCCCCCCAGTCCCACTCCCCACTGCTCACTGAGTTGCTGCCACACCTCAGATACCAACTGGGGTCCCCTATCAGATGACATCCCTGTAGGCACCTTGAGCCTGGGGATGGATGTCTTGCAGGAGTACCTGGGTGACTCCCTTGGCCTTGTTGGTGTGGCAGGAGAAGTTCTGGACCCCCAAGAAGTGATCCAGCAACACCAGGAGATACCTGAGGCCATGGTACCTGAGGCCTGGCGTGGTAGCTCAGAAATTCCATTTGGCAGTTATCATTGGGAGTGTTTCCTCTTTCAGTGATGCCTGGAGGTGATGACTTTGAATTCAAAGGGTTCTTTTGAAAACACATCAGGCATTGCTCTGTAACAGGCCTGACAGTTTTGTCCTACAGGCACTGAGGATCTGAGAGCACAGAGGCATCCCCATGGCATGAATTCCCCAGAGCTTTGCTGGTGCTTTTCTCCTTTACAAATTGCAGCATCAGTTGGGGAGGGCCTGACCTGGTTATTGGGAGTTACCTCTCACCCACCCAGCCACCCATTTATTGTGGGCTTTTAGATAAGCAGCCAATTTTCAATTTGCCCAACTCTCTCCAGGCCTCACCTCTGGGGCTGAAATTCCTTTCTCAGGAATTAACACCAGGATGCTTTGTTGTGGAACCTCTCCTGCAGCTTTATTGCAAGTCTATTTCCCACAGGGATTTGTCAATCCCCAAGCTGGTGTGCCCTGGATTGTAGTACAGCCACTTCTCTGGGCAGCTGGGTGGAATCAAGGAGGGACAATAATTCTTGTTTCTATTTAATTGGTGATCCCTGTGCAGTTAATTGACTTGTTTCTTTGCATATGGCTCCATGGGCATGAGCAATGCTCAAAGCAGATGCCAAGTGAGTTCCTATGTTTGTTCTTTTTGCTGCTGCCAATTCCAGAGCTCTTTGTAACCCTGCGAGCTCCTCCCTTTGTTCCACATCCCCTTGAGTCTATGGCAAGCAGAGTATATACGATAAAGCTTGGTTCCAAATTGGATTTCCTGGCCTCTTGGATGAGGAACACAGTTGCTGAGGAGTGGGACTGGGGTCCTGGGAGGTGAGAAATAAGACAGAAAATAGAAAGTTTCTGATCCCTTAATGGTACAGGAGAGAGCTTCAAGATGAGTGAGCAAGAAACAATAGAAGGATGTAAAAGTGTGGACACAGCAGGGTAACGGTGGCTGGAACCAGTGAAGTTACAGATAAAGGGAACTCCTGTGAGGGGTTTTGGGCAAATTCTGTAACACAGGAGGAGCAGAGAAAGCAAAAGTTCAGGGTGAGGTCATCTGGGATATTGGGGCACTCAGTGAAAATCACAGCCTGACACCCCATTTTTATGACACTCCAGGACAATAAAAATGATTTCCTCAAAGAGGCAGAGCCATACAAATTATTAATGGTAAAAATGCTAGTTTTATATTAGGTAAGAAGCCCATTGTAAGGAATATTTATAATTACAATGGATAAAGACAATGTGGTAAAGTCCCTCCCTGACTTGCAGGACCAGGAGAGATCTGCTCTGAGTCTGAGCTGATAAAGAATTTTGGCCTTCTGATACCTCCAGTTCCATCAGGGAGTTCACTCTGCCTGATTTTCATATCAGGGGGTGCTGGACAATGGAGACTCGAGAGGGAAGATGGGCCTGAGATTGCAGATGGGGGCCTGGAGGGCTCCAAGGGGACATTGTGGGGGCAGGGGGTGACCCCTAGATTTGGGTTGGGGTCCTGGGGTGACATGAAATGGGTAATGGGACTGGAGCTGTGACTTGGGTCTGGGAGAGAGACCTGGGGGACACTGGGGGCAGTGAGGGAGTGGCTTTAGGAATTTGGGTGAAGTCCCAGAGGGGCCTGGGGTCACAAGAGGCTTGCAGAGGATTGGGATCAGGATTGAGTTCCTGGGGAGCACTGGGGGGACATCAGAAGGGTAAACACAGGACTGGGATTGTGATTGCGCTGCTGGAGGGACACTGGGGGAATCACAGGACAGGGATTGGGGTCATGGGATGCTATGGGGGAAAAGTGAGGTGGGACATGAGATGGTGGGAGTGGGATTGGGATCATGGGGGGAGCTGGGAAACACTGTGGGGGCAGGGGGTGATGCCTGGATTTGTGGTGAGATCCTGGGGTGACAGCAAAGAAATTGGGGACTGGAAGTGTGATTGGGGTCTGGGGATGGGCTGAGGGGGACAATGGGGGGCGCTCAGGGAGTGACCCCAGGATTTGGGTCAGGATTCTGCTGGGGCTGAAGGGACTTGTAGTGATGGGAGTAGGATTGGGGTTCTGGGGGCCACGGCACTGTTGGATTGGGATCTATAGGGCTGGGAGATGCTGGGGAGGGATAAGTAACCCCAGGATTTGGGATCAGGGACCCCGGACATTCCCAGGGCTCTGCTGGCCAGGAGTGCCTCCCTTCGCCCTGGGCTGACCCCACTCCCCTGCCCTGTCCCTCACTGATGAACCCTCCCTGTGTCTCCTCTGTGTCCCCTTTGTGTCCCCCAGTGTCCCACACTGGTCCCTGTGGCCTCTCCCCTCCACGGCCCCCCTGGCTCATACCTTGGCACTGCTGGCAATGGCTGTGGCTATCATGGCCAATGAGTTGGTGACCCTGGACATGGCCAAGGACTCCTTTGATGACCAGTACCGGGGCTGTGGGCCTGCTGTCAGTGCGACACTTCCGGCCCTCAACTGCTTTGAGTTCTACCAGAAGCATGTGTTTGCCCAGATCTGGGCAAAGGCTCTGGCCAAGTCTCAGGTCTCAGCAAAGGCTGAGCTGGGGGCCCCCTGTGACCCTTCAGTCCCCAGACCAGGCCACCGCCATCATGGCATAGGCAGTGGATGGCCTGTACTTCCTGTTCAATGAGGCCGTGCATGTGGCCGGGCATTCCCACCAGGAATACCAGGAAAACTCCACTTCAAAACGCTGCATTTCCTGCTGACCAACACCCCGGCCATGCTGAGGGACCCTCAGAAAGGGCAGTGTCTTGGCCTGTTCCAGTGGGTGTGTGGGGTCCTGTTCGACAGAGAGCGTGGCAACACCGTCTGGTTCGGTGAATTCACATCAATGTGGCTGAGCAAACCAAGCGGCCAGTGCTTTGGGAAGGAGACGGTGTTCGAGGTGCACACGTGCCACAGTGTGGACATCCACTTCTTCTCTGAAAATCCGGGGGTGTTGATCCCACCCTTTGAGACCTTTGAGGTCATCAAAGTCACCCAGTACAGGGAGAGGACGTGCATCCAGCTCCACTCCAGCAAGAACTTCAGCAAATACCACTGTGAGTGGCTGTGAGGTGATTCCACAGGGGACAGCCTGGGGGCATGGGGACACCCACTGTAGCCACAGAGAAACCCATGGGATCAGGCACAGGGGACAATGACACTCACTGGGGATGGGGGACAGGGAGAACTACTGTGGTGGGGGGGAACAAGGACACTCCATGCTGAGGACACCAAGCCTGAGCACACCCATTGTGGGCACAGGGTCCGTGTTCAGTGGTGAGAGCACTGGACATGAAAGGAAGAGTCACCATTGGCACAAAAAGTACTCCTCCCCTTGATGAACTGAGGATTGATTATTCTGAAGGACTGAGAGTCGATGATTTGGGGGATGTATTGTATTGGGAATTTGGTGAGGAGGAGGAGGAGATGTATTTGTGAAGTTTTCGTTTTCCTTGTGTGTTTCTTTTTTTTTTCCTTTCTCTTGTAGTTTAGTTAATAATATTTTTTTTCCTAAGTGGGAGCTTGCTTTGCTTATTCCTGGTCACATCTCACAGCAGAAACGAGGGAGAGAGTATTCTCATGGGGGCACTGGCATTGTGCCAGTGTCAAACCATGACACTTGTCAGTTTGGGGTTGGGTATTTGGGCTAATTTTGGCTCAATTCAGCACCAAAATCAGCAGCAGACCCTTCTCAATGCAGCCCTGGTGGCCACAAATTGGCCATTGTCCCTGGGGCACATTCCAGGCAGAGCATCCTGCCTCATCTGGAATTTCAGGAGGACATTATAGTCTGGGATTTGGGAAGTTCAAGAGGGCAAGGGCAGGTCCTGTCCCTGGGGAGGGACAGTCCCCAGTGCCCATCCTGGCTGGTGGGGACCTGCTGGAGCAGCTCTGGAGAAGGGCCTGGGGATGCTGGTGTGTGACCAGGGGAGGTGTAAGTGTGTCCTGGGACCAGGAAGGATCCAGGGGGCATCAGGAAGAATGGGGTGAGGAGGTCATGGAGTGTTTGTGCCCCTCTGTCCTTCCCAGCGAGGCACATCAGGAGTGCCGTGTCCAGCTCTGCCCAGTGCTGTGTCCCTTTCTGGGCTGCTCAGGACCCAGTCCTGGTCTTAGGGATGATTCTGCCTGAGCTGGGAGGTTGGGCCAGGTGCCCACTCTGGGTCCTTCCAGCCTGACCCATGCTGGGATTTGGGGATTCTGGCAGTTGTGGTTCAGGAATTGTCCACTGGAGGGCAGCACTGCGCATGCACTGCCCCCAGCTGCAGTTCCGGGTGCCAACAGCAGGCGGCAGCACGAGCTGCTGGCGCTGCTGAGAGCCCGCCCCGCCCCATCCCAGCCCCGGGGGCTCTGCAATGGTTTGGGATGGAGCCACCTTAAAGCCCGTCCGGTGCCAGCCCTGCCATGGGCAGGGACATCTTCCCCTGGGCCAGGCTGCTCCAGGCACCGCCCAGCTTGGCCTTGGACACGGCCAGGGATGGGGCAGGCACAGCTTCCCTGGGCAGCCTGTGCCAGGGCATCACCACCACCACAGGGAAGGATTTTATAGGAAAGATGGGTGGTGATGTATTTGAAAAATGACTCAGAGGTTTGGGGGTCTTCAGGAGAAATTGTTGTCAGTGTTTTCAAAATGGTTCTTGACATCTGTGCATGTGAAGACATGAAGTTTGTCACAGAACCCTGGCGGTTTAACCAGAAAATTTGAAGTCCTGAACTTTTGGGTAATAAGAGAAATGGGTCCTCAAAAAGTCAATTCCATAACCCAGACAGCCTGAACTTCTGAACTTTGGGAGAAAATGACAGCTTCAAGGGGGATGTGGGGTAGGTGCTTTGGGACAGCTGCACCTTCCTATACCTCAGCCAGTGGGGAAAGGGAGAGGGCAACTTGTAGCCCTGAGTTTGGGATAAAAGGAGGCTGCACCCTCCGAAACCTTGAGAGAGACTCCCCACAGGGATATGGCTGTGGAAACTCTGTGCCTTTATTGGAATCACATTTCAAAACTATTTTTTCAACATTTGGCTTTTCACAGTGTGGCTTTTCCCCACATGGTGAAGTTGCTGGGCAGAGGCAAAAATGATAAAAGGATGTAAAAGTATTTACAGAGCACAATAAACATGGCTCAAAGCAGTGGAGAAAGAGATGAAGGGGAACTCTGGAGGGGTTTTTGACAAGTTTTGTAACACAGAAGGAGCAGCACCTGCCAAAAGCAGAAGTTCGGGCAATGTCATCTGGAATATGGGGGCAATTAGTGAAAATGACCTCCAGCTGACTTCCTAGGAATTCTCCAGAAAAATAAAAGAAGAGAGAGGCGGAGCCATGGCACTTATTTACAGGAAATGTGCTGGTTTTGTATTAGCTAAGAAGCCCATTTTAATAAATATTTATAATTACAGTGGATAGAAGTGGCAAAGTCCCCCCAAGCTGCAGGACCAGGAGAGATCCTCTGTGAGTCTGAGCTGATAAAGAATTCCAGCTTTCTGATACCTGCACATCCATCAGGGAGTTCACTCCGGCTGATTTTGGTATCAGGGGCTGGGGGGACTCCAGGGGACACATGGATGGGGGAGAGGGGACGTTGACATCAGGACTGGGGCCCTGGGGGACACTGGGGGGACCCTGGGGGTGAAAGTGATGTGGGGTTGGAATCCTGGCAGAAGCCGGGGGGGGTACACGGGGGACATGGGACTGGGGTTATCTGAGTCCTGGGGGCAGCAGGGGGGAACTGGGGGTGTGACTGGGCCATGGGAGGGCTGGAGGACACTGCAGGGGGCAGGGGGTGATCCCTGCATTTGGGTTGGGGTCCTGGGGTGTTTCATTTCCAACAACCCCAAAGGGGACTCCAGACTGGGAATGGGATTGGGGTCTGGGGGTGGGCTGAGAGGGACACACAGGGTGTCAGGGAGTGACCCCAGATTTGGGTTGGGGTCCTGGGGGGGCTGAGGGCACCCCAGGGGAATGACTCAAAACTGTGGGAGTGGGACTGGGGTCCCGGGGGGGACTGGAAGACACCAGGGCCACCAGGAATGACCCCAGGATTTGGGATCAGGGTCCCAGGACAAACATCCTGGGGTCTCCTGGCCAGGGCTGCCTCCCCTCCCTGGGCTGACCCCACTCTCTCTTTCCAGCCCCTCACCAAGGAAGCCTCGCCATATTCCCCGTGTCCCTCAGCGTCCCCTGTGTCCCATCAGTGTCCCCTGGTGTCCATCAGTGTCCCCTCAGCACCCCCACCCTGTGTCACACAGTCTGTCCTCTGTGTCCCCTCTGTGTCCCCCAGTGTCCCACACTGGTCCCTGTGGCCTCTCCTCTCCATGGCCCCCTTGGCTCAGACCCTGGCACTGCTGGCAATGACCGTGGCCACTGCAGCCATCAAGGTGGTGCCCCTGGACATGGCCCAGAACTCCTTTGATGACCAGTACCTCAACTGTGGCCCTGCCATGACTGAGGCCTTGCCGGCCCTCAACATTTCCGAGTTCCAGGAGAACAAGGAGTTTTCCCAGGCCTGGGTGAAGGCCACGGCCGAGTGGCGGAAGCGGGGCTCCTCTTCATCCCCTCTGTCCCCAGCCCAGGCCATCGCCCTCATGGCCTACACGATGCCGGACGTGCACAAGCAGCTCAACCCGGCCGTGCGCCAGGCCGGGCGCTCCCGCCAGGAATACCGGGACAACTTCCGCTTCAAAACGCTGCATTTCCTGCTGACCCAGGCCCTCCAGAAGCTGAGACGCCCTGATGAGTGTCCAGCTGTGTTCCGTGGGGTGAGGACAGTCCAGTTCAATGTGACAGCTGGTGATAAAGTCCGCTTTGGTCAATTCGCTTCGTCGTCCCTGGACAAAACGGTGGCCCAGGGTTATGGGAACGTCACGATGTTTGAGGTGCACACGTGCCATGGAGCAGACATCCAGAAATTCTCCTTCAATCCAAGCGAGAAGGAGGTGCTGATCCCACCCTTTGAGACCTTTGAGGTCACCAAAGTCACCAGGGAAGGGAAGAAGGTGCAGATTGAGCTTCGCTCCACCGGGAACTTCAGCAACTACAACTGCGAGTGGCTGCGAGGTGACATCATGGGAACAACCTGGGGGGATGGGGACACTCAGTGAGGGCTGGGGACAAGGACCCACAGTGCTCGGGATGCCCATGGCCCAGAGGGGACAGGGACACCCACTGTGGGTGGGAGGCAGGACACCCAGAGCTGGGGACAAGGTCGGTGACAGCCACTGCCGGGCACAGGGGATGGGGACACCCAGTGCCAGGTGGGGGGGACAGGGACATCCAGTGCTGGGGACACCCACAGGGGTGGGGAGGACAAGGCCACCCATGGTTGGGCACAGGGGAAAGGGGCCTCATTATGGCCCCCTCTGACATCCCACACTCCCAG